ATGCACCTGGGCTCAGTGCCGAGATTTTACCAACAGACAATGATTGTTAGTGTTTAATTTGAAGTTAACAAACTTAATTCTTCACATTTTTTTCCCTTTTTAACGATAAAGTAACAAACTTACTTAGCTCCAATCATCCTAGAGCAAAAGGATATTACCCGTCCTACTATCCAGATCCGTATATTTTAGACAAGTAATATATAGACAACTATCTCTCTCTCTCTCTCTCTCTCTCTCTCACACACACACACACACACACACACACACACACACACACACACATACACACACCCACACCCACACCCATCTTTCTTGCATGCACGAGAGACACATGCTCATCAAGAAGTCCAACAACCTAACTCCTAACTTGTTGTGGATACTGTGTGTGTATATATTGTTTGTTCTTGTTTCTCCTTCAATCAATGACTAGAAACGTACAAAGATGGGCATTAACTATGGTCCCCTTCTAGCTTTAGCAATTACTAATAAACAGGTTTACAGGTAGCTTAATTGTTGGTTACAACGCTTTGTAAGAGAAACAGTACTAATCAATTACATGCATGTGGGAGCTGGTTGATATATATATAACGTATGTAACAATTCAAGATCAGCGTCACCATCGGCCCTTTATATATAAACTTCAAACTAATACTTATAATATATATACATATATATATATATATGGGGTTTTAATAAATTAATTTCCTCAATATTGCGTATTAATTAACCTAAACTCTAGGTTAATTAATCTCCACAGGCTAGGAGTTTCGACAAATGTTGCTCACAAACAAAATCAGAGAAAAAGATTTATCAAACCCTAACGGTTAATTAATTGGACCCTAGCTAACTAATCTATCAATTTGTATACAGAAACCTTTAAAAAATTGTTAGTATTATTAAGTCTAAATTAACACGATCGATCCACCTAGAATCAGTTTTAGCATTGTCACTGGGCTTATTAAGTTTATAATGTGGTCAGAAAGTGAGAGCTCCAATCGAAGATTCATAGTGTAGGTAATGTGGACGTCATCATTACTTCATTACCAGAAAGGAAGGCAAGAACAGAGAGAGAATTATTTTTCGCAGTAGGTCAATCATTGAACACAATTACCTACGAACGAATACTGAATTGCTGCGCTCACTGTTTTGTTAATTCCATTAGCGAATAGTGCTGTAGATAGATACAAATTGCAATAAGCAGGATGCCACCAACTCCAATCCTCTCGTTGCTTTCTTATTTCATCTTTATAAACTTTTTTTTTTTTTTTTTGGGGTGGTTTTCGCTTTTTCGTCTTACAAAACTATTGGAGATTCATGATGATGAGAAACAGGAACTCTTATGATTTGGTAGCACATCAATTTTGTGTTTGATCCTTTGATTTTTGCTATCAAAGCCGATAATATTAATATATAACAAGAGAGAAGCACCAGTCTTACTCAACAATGGTGGGCTTTGGAATAAACTATAAACCCTACACGCACAGAGACACACACATATAATTGGCAAGCCACAGCCATGGCCTAAACTATAAACCCTACACGCACAGAGACACACACATATAATATATTATGTATACATATTAAATGGCCTATGTTTCTGAACATCAGATCGACAGAGACACACATATTGGTGAGCCGACGAAACAGCAGAGGTTATAGTCCACAATCCTTATCCAAACACTGAAGACTGTAGTGTAAGCGTTGGTGCATTTTTAATATGAAATAATAAATAAAATTGTTATTGTTTGATTGTTAGTGGGAAATTTATTGTTGTTAGTGAGAAATTTATTGTTGTTAGTGGGAAATTAAGATGGAGTCTTTTAGCCTTTCATCTTTTGTAACTTTTGTAACATTTTTCTTGTTAATTTTTGTTTATTACTATATTAACTATGGCTGATAATATTTGTTCAAAAAAAAAAAAAAAACTATGGGAAATAATAAACCTACAATTAGTAGCATTTTCTCCGTCATCCTTTTATTTATTATCCCACTAGTAATTTCTTCTACAACAATTATTCTTCATTACTCCATCTTTTCCATTTTTACTTATTGGCCAAAGAAGGGTTTTCTTGTGGTGGAGCTTTGGACGCTTCCTTTTTGTGTGGATAGGTTTGAGTCACACAACGATTCAGTTGGGCTGTTGTATTCAGGGAGCGACAAGTCAATAGATATATTGCTGCTACACAGGTTCGTGTGGCTTGAATATCCTAATTAATAAAGAGATTGAGATATCCGTGCCTCAACCTAACTGTCTACGTGTTTTATATAAAATGGCATAATTTTCTTGTATTTTTTTCAACAGTAAGTGTGTGTGTGTGTGTATATATATGGGGGCTGAATCTAGTTTACTGGACTATCGGCTATATTTGGATGAATCCATGCTTATCTGAAAGGTGCGCACAAGGGACAAATTAACGCACGTAGGTAAGTAGGTAAAATTAGTACCAAATATTGTGGATAAAGGAGGAGGGGAGTGGTTATTTGTAAGATTTATATTAGTACTTTTTATGCTGATGAGGATGACAAAAATGGGAAGCTATCAGTCAACGTGCATGCGCATGTGATCACATTGTTATTGCTACCTTCCCCCCTTCATTCCTTCCATTTTCTCTATAACTATTAACTGAACATGAACCTACGTTCACCTAAATAAAACCATCTTTGAAACTGCTGGTGTTCTTGATTCATATTATCGTGCAATCACACCATGATCAACAGCTCACACGATGAATTCTTACCTACATTTTTTGTACCTACAGACTACAGTTGATGAAATATCTGCACAAGAATTGCACAAAACGTTATTAATGGATGTGATCAAACGGTTACAATATATGAATTCTACTTAATTAAGGATGAGTAAGAAATCAATAAACTTGTGTGTGTGAATATATGTGTGTATATACAGTTATAATTGGATGCACTAGTTGGAGATTCTTTTTCCTTTTTCTCTTGATCGATGTCTTCACCATTTATCTCTCTCGCACACATACATATATGTCTAATTAGGGGCTGAGATGCTATTGTTTAATTTAGCTACTTACCAGATCAATATTTTTTTTTACCCCCACCTAGTTTTAATCTTACTACAATTGCATGATTTTTTTGTTTTTTTTATTGTAAAAAAATCATCGAATTGTAGTAAGATTGTTAAGGTCATGATAATCATAGAGATTCAAAAACAATTTTGAATATATGGTATCTAACTGAATGGGGAGGAATCAACTCAGTTAGATACCATATATATACACACCAAACAAATTTTTAGAACTGAAAAATAAAAAAATTGTTCTTCAAAGATGTTTGAAGATATATTTTCAGAAATGATGAATTTTGTTAATAGAATATACCAAACAGATTTGACGGATATGAGAAAAAGAAAAGTATATGACTTGGTTAGGCTCGGGTTTTAATTAATTAGTTATGGTATAACAGGACCAATTTGGGAACGAAATTTTAGGTATTTGATTGATACAGAGAAAAAAGCCAAGTATACGACTCAGTTAGGCTAGGGTTTCAATTATGGTATATGGGTCTCTAGTTTGTATCCGTCCAGTATTCATTTTATAATATATAAGTGGTGAGAGGAATTAAATTCAGAATTTCAGATATAATGGTGAAAGATTTTAACCAACTAAGTTCACATTTAATCCCTCAAAAAAAAAAAAAGTTCAAATATTAAAATAATAATACGTACAACAATGTTATTATAGTATACATACATATATATATATATGTATATGTATGTATGTATGTATATATGGTATCTAACTAAATCGGGAGGAATCCAACTCATTATAAAGATATGCAAGGTCTTTTGATTCTCCAATACAAGACTCACAATCTTAACAAGCCCTCTCACTCATGTGTAAAGCCATTGTGCTCATGGGTCAATTTGACTCTACAACAACAACAACCAAGTATTATACCACTAGAGGGTCGGTTATATGAATTCTAAAATGCCGGTCATAGGATAAGTAACGAGATAGAGAGTGGGGCATACCTAACGAATTGACCATGCTTGTGGAAGATGTGGGAGCAACACGGGATGGGAGGGCCACCTTGACATGAAAGTCCTGAAAAAATGTGGAAGGTTTGGTTTGTCTGGTGCCGCGACGGGGTGGAGGGGTTTGGTCTGGTGATAGAGTGATTGGTAAGGTATTTGGTGGTGGAGTTGGATTGAGTAAAGGAGATGGAGGTGGGGTGGGGTCAACAAGTGTGGAAGAGTTGGTATCTAAAATGGCTTCCGTGTAAAACTTGGATGATGCGACTCAAGGTGAGAGTCCAAATCAAACTGAATAGGTGAGGGTGAAGTGTTTGATGGGGATGAGGCAGCAGAAGTGATAGGGTTTTGGAATGGAAAATGGTTTTCAAAAAACACAACATCCCTGAAAACAAATGTTTTATTCTGTTTCATATCAAACAATTTATAACCCTTTTGACCATAAGAATATCCAAGAAAAATGCATTGGGTTGCACATGGGTCGAATTTAGAGGGCCTTTGGGCGTGTGTAGAAGCAAAGCATAAGCTACCATAAACCTTTAAATGAGAATAGTTAGGTGCTTTGTGAAACAGTTTTTCGTAGGGTGTTCTACCTTAGAGAAGTGGAGTAGGTGTTCTATTAATGAGATAGGCTAAGGCTAAAATCACATCCCCCCAAAATCGTTTTGGCAGACAAGCTTGAAAAAGCAAAGCCCAAGCAACATTGAGCAAGTGCCTGTGTTTACGTTCAACAACATCATTTTGTTGTGGTGTGTTAACGCAATTAGATTGATGTATAATGCATTTGAGAGCATAAAATTGTTCAAGTTTGAACTCAGGGCCATTGTCACTTCGTATGATTTGAACTTTAGTATTGAATTGAGTCTCAACCATTTGAATGAATTTGACTAAGATGTCTTTTGTGTCGGATTTATGCTTCATCAAATAAACCCAAGTGCTTCTAGTATGGTCATCTACGATGGTAAGAAAATATTTGGCACCTGAAAGAGAAGCAACCTGATAACCACCCCAGATATCAATATGTAATAATTCAAAACATGATTTGGTAGAAATAGAACTTAATGGAAAGGGCGATCTTGTTTGTTTGGCCAATGGGCAAATTAAACATTTGTCCGAATCATAAGTCTCATTATTTAAAAATGGGAATAACAAAAAGGCTTTATGATATGGGTGTCCTAGGCGTTGGTGCCAAAGCTTTGCTCAGACGGCATGGATACTGTTGCATGTTCTTTTCTTCGATGGGTCGAGGTAGTAGAGTCTCTCCCTTTCAGTTCCCTTCCCAATCATCTTCCTCGAGCGAAGGTCCTGGATGACACAAAAACGGGTTAAGAAAATGGTGACATATAAGGAATCATAGGATAGTTTACTGATGGATATTAGATTGAGTCTAGAGAATGGCACACATAAGACATTATCAAGGATAAGGTTATGAGAGAAAAACAACTTGTCCAACATGAGTGACTTTGGCAATGGAACCATTTGGCAGTTCAACGGTATGATTATCAACGACTCGTGAGTTTGTAAGCAAACTAGGGCTGCAAACTATGTGATTCGTGGCACTACTGTCCAGGATCCAAATACTTTTGGTGCCTTTATATGGAAAAGATAAGGCTTTACCAGAAAGTTCTTCATGACTAGAAGGATTACCGACTTGATTAGCAAATGATGACTTATTCTTGTTCAACATTTGAAGGATTTGCTTGCAATCCTCCTGAGAGAATGAGAAACTATGCATTGTCTCTTACTTGTCATGTTGGGAAACTTGATTCCCCTTTGAAGAAAATGGGCGATTGGATTCAGTCTCAGCAGTTGCCTTCCATTTTCGATAGAACTTGAAAGTGTGGCATTTCCATCCACAAAAGGTGCACTTGAGATGTTCATGATAGTTTTTGGTGATGTGATTGGTTTTGTTGCACTTTCCACATCGCACCTCATTGTCTTCCAGCGCAGGTTCTCACGATGAGTTCTTCACTGCAAAGACAGCAGCCTCCGATCGTGTACTTTTCCCATTAGAAACCTCTGCCTGGCATTCATGTTGAAGGACCAACATATATGCTTTGTTCACTGTAGGTAGTGGTTCAAGGAGAAGAGTATTGCTTTGAACCGTATCATACGATTCGTTTAATCCTATAAGGAACTTTATGGTTTTTTGAGTTTCAACATACGAGGTCATCTCATTCTTTGTTCCAACAAAAAGTATCGCATTCATCCCATAAACTTTTAAGTTTAGTAAAGTAAGAACTTACACTCATATTGCCTTGGATACAATCATGGATCTTATTCTCAACATGGAATAATTGAACCATATTCATATGTGAGAACCTTTCCAGCAAATCGGTGCACATCTGTCGAGCATCCTTGTAGTTGATGACGCTCCCTGAAATCTCTTTCAACATGGAACCTAACAGCCATGTCTTGACCAAGTCCGAGTTTGTTCTTGACCGTTAAGGCCATATTCATGGATTGAACCCATATGTTGTTGTTGTCTTCCACTAATGGTTGTGGCACGATGATTGCACCAGGTTGGTCTGAGTGGTGGAGATAAAGCGGATGGTTGGGGTTTTTCCATTTTGAATGAACAATCGTGCCTTGAATGGTTGACCTCAAGTCTGGCTTGTCGCCCATGATCATGTTTGCCTTAGAGCTGTGTTTTGTTGCTTTCCCAGATCAATGTTTTAATACCATCTAAGAAATCAGATTATACTGAAGACATATCAATCAACACATTCCTATTCTATTGCCTACAATCAAGGTTGACCAAAGACTAAATAAGGAAGTAAATAACTAATTATCAATTTACAATATATGGTAAATCAATAAGATATTTCTTTCTTAATAGGTTCACGTGTTCAAACACCTTAACCGATTTTCTTATCTTCAATTGCGGCTACTTCTATTTACCTCAAATATCTTTGCTCTTAATCCTATCATTTCTCGTGTGCCCACACATCCAACTAAGCATTCTCATCTTCTTTACACTCAATTTTTACACATGTTACTTTTTGACCGCCCAACATTTTATGCCATAAAGCATTGTTGGCCTTCTTATCGTCCTATAATATTTTTCATTAAGCTTTAGTGGCATACAACAATCGCACAACATACTCGACGCACTCTTCTACTTCATTCATTCAGCATGTATTCTATGGTTGACAAATCTCCATCTAATTCTCATTTCTTTTGCAAGATAGATCTAAGATAACAAAAGTGTTCATTCTTTGGTACTTCCTGATCTCCAATCCTCACCCCTATTTTATTTGGATTCCCCTTCCCAGTGAACGTGCACTTCATAAACTCTATCTTTCACCTACTTAGGCGAATACCTTTAGAGTCCAATAGTCATGTCCAATGGTTAAGTTTCACATTCACTCCCTCATGTGTTTCATCTATCAACACTATATCCTCTTCGAAAAGATATGTTGCCGTGAGTAATAATTAAAAGGGTATGTAAATATATATTGTAAATATTAGGAATCCTTTATTAGGAAGGATATATGTTTGTGTCCTTTATTATTTATTGTTTCCTTATGGAACATGGATTGTATCTTGTATATATTTTCAGTTATGCAATACAATGAGAATTAAGCTATAAAATTCAAGTAGATACACCAAGGGTTATCATCTTGAATATGTCCCGTTAATTCATCCATTACCAATACAAAAAAATAAGGACTTAAAGCTGAACCTTGTTGTAACGCTATAGTTATGGGCCAACTTGACTCTGATATTATAAAGTAATTTGAAATTTCACTACTAAACAAAGTCCTTCAATTCTACAATATGACATTCGCACTCTTAATACTGATATACAGTAAGCATTATAATTTTCAAACACTAATATCAGAGTGTATCCACTTCTCTTCTCTCTATCTCTGACAAAAATGTTGAGACTCGCAGTCGTATCTATTGCCCACTGATTATCACGCATGGGCGAACCACCGTTCCAAGTCAACCCACCTTTTAGCTTCCGGCCATCCAATTCATTTGCAGCTACAGCTACCTACCTACCTGATAGTATAAACCATTACCCTCCCCTCCATTTGTTCCTCAACTCTCTACCCAATCCGCGCTAGCTTCTTGCAGTTGGCCCCTCTCTCTCAATCTTCCTCCCCCACCCCCTTCCCACCCCACCCCCCCTCCCCACCCATTTTTAGGTTATTAATTTCTTGGAAAGATTAAGGTTAGTTATAAGATTTTAGAATGAGGAAACCCTGCTGCGATAAGCAGGACACAAACAAAGGAGCTTGGTCCAAGCAAGAAGACCTGAAGCTCATTGAATACATTCGTAAAAATGGCGAGGGTTGTTGGCGTACCCTTCCTCAGGCTGCAGGTAATTAACTATGAACTTGTATATTTCTGGATTAACAAGTCATATATATGTATATAAACATCTTTTTTGGTAATATCATAGCAAAAACATTCATCAGAAAGATAAACTATTTACAAATTAAGGAGTTAATTCCTTGATTTCTTACATTTTTAATTCCTTCATTTCTTACATTCCTCGTCAATATTTTTCTGTCTCTTCTTTCTATTTTAACTAAGCCAACAAATGCTAATTGTTCCTTTTCTTCTTCTGATTAATTTCAGAGAACTTTAATGAGTATTAATTGCCACCTCTTTTTCTTTTTTCTTCTTTTTGCAATTTGATTCAGGCCTCCTTCGTTGTGGTAAAAGTTGTAGGCTGAGATGGATAAACTATCTACGACCAGACCTTAAAAGAGGCAACTTTGCTGAAGATGAAGAAGATCTCATCATCAAGCTTCATGCACTCCTAGGCAACCGGTACTTGCTAGCCAATTCTTTTGAGAGAACTGATTTATACACACCATGTTTTTACTTCTGCATATCTCTGTTCATTTCTATGAATTATCTTTTTTCTTTATCCAAGGGCAACCGGTCCTTACTAGCTAATTCTTTCAAGAGAACTGATTTATACACACAATATTTCTCCTCTACACATCTCTGTTTAATTCTATCAATTAATTCTTTTTTACTTCATTAAATCCAAGTGCTAAATTAAATTGGGTATGCATGAGGATAAAAGAAAAGTGTGTGAATTTTAGTTATCCCCCGTTGTCTTTTATTTCTTATGACAAATGATCCAATAAGAATAATCAATTATTACTGTATGCAATTGCACCATGCATAAATAAGTAGAGTTTACAGATTTGTTGGTGTAAACTAATTAATTTAACTATTTAGCTAATTTTTTTAGGTGGTCATTGATTGCTGGGAGATTGCCAGGACGTACAGACAATGAAGTGAAAAACTACTGGAACTCTCATTTGAGAAGAAAGCTTATGAACATGGGTATAGATCCAAATAATCATCGACCGAACAACGTCAATCTCCCTCGTCTTCATCATCAAAATTCACAAACTGTCAGTAGCACTGCAACATTGTCTGAAGCTTTAAAAAACCCTACCAATTATCAGCAGCAAGCAAGATCCGGTGGTAATAATAATTGTGACCATGAATCGGACGGTACAAGTTGCTTAGAGGATGATTCTTGTGGCCGGCTGCCTGATTTAAACCTAGACCTCACGATAACTGCTCCTTGGTCTAATCCAGTTCCTGATAACCTCAAGGAGGAGCAAAATTTCGAGTCTAAAGTGTCAAAGAAGTCATCAGAATTTGCTTCATCTACCATCCTTCCTCTCTTCAGATAATCGAATTTTCGTTCATGTGGATCGGAAGGTTTCCACAAGCATTAATTTTAGCAGAAATGGCTTATGAAATTGAAATTAATTATATTGATCAATTGGAGATATATAAAGGGTCTAATTTTGTAGAACCTACTTATCTGGGTAAAAATGCAAGATGCATATCTTGGAAAGTCAGCGTGAGATCCAAAATTACAATGCAGTTCCTTAAAAGAGCGACAAATGTACTTCCAAGAATCTCTCTTGCATGCATCTCACAATGTTGGCTTGCAGTTGCTCGGTATCATTGGACTTGAAGATAATCTATCAGTTTATAACAAGGCTTTGCAACAGATGATGATGGCTGAAGCTGAACGTATCAACAAGAAAGCATATTTACTTGATCGGAGATGCTGGCTAGATAGATTAGCCAATTTATTTATCATAAAGTTGGGTAAGTGATTAATAAATGTATTAGCTATGTAAATTTGTGAACATGAACATCCGAATATTCCATTTAATTACAGTATTTCTAGCTTTGATATATCTTTATTTCATTGAATCTTGTTTGAAATTGGGTTTAATCAGTAGTTCCTTCCCATAATTAATTATTGGTTATTCTCCTAATTGATTATTCTCTTATAACTAGCTAGGATCCAAAGAAAGTGATTGCACCCCACCAAATTTTAGATCCTGTAAAAAGAACTGCAGAAAGTGCCAGTTTCGCCTTAGAATGCTATCTTTTACAGCAACTATGCATAAGTAGAATACTTATTAGGCTTTTTATTCAAAATGGTCCCTGAGATTTGCATCATCCATAAGTTTGGTCCCTGAGATTTAAAATCAATAGAAGTAGTCCCTGAGATTGTCCACCATCCATGATTTTGGTCCTTCCACTGAAGTTTTTGGCTAGAAGTTTGGGCAATTTTCAAAGCTTCGTAACTCAATCGTTTCTTAACCAAATTCGACCCGTATATATCAAAATGAAGATAGGAAAGTATAGAATAAGATTATATCTATTTGAAAGTCCAATGGTTGCCAGAGATGGTCAGAAAAAAGCCTCAAAATTGACTGGTCCGAGGGAAAACTGAAAAACTCACCGGAAACTAGGTAAACTTTAAATGTTCATAACTTCTTCAATACTCAACGAAATTAAGTGATTCAGAAACAAAAATCATACTTCTCGACGAGAAGAATAGAATGATACTTTTTTAACGGCTAAATCGCCGTGGTTTGGCCGGAAAACGGCTCAAAAGTTGCTGACTCGTTTTTCAACAGCCACTTTTGAGCCTTTTTCGGCCAAACCACGGCGAGTTAGCCGTTGAAAAAGGTACCATTCTCTTCTTCTCGTTGAGAAGTATGATTTTTTTTTTGAATCCCTTGATTTTGTTGAGTATTGAAGAAGTTATGAACGTTTAAAGTTTACCCAGTTTTCGGCGAGTTTCCGGCAAGTTTTCCAGTTTTTCCTCAGACTAGTCAACTTTGTGGCTATTTTCTGACCATCTCCGGCAATCATTGGGCTTCCAAATAGATATAATCTTATTCTATACTTTCCTATCTTCATTTTGATATATTATGGGTTGAATTTGGTTAAGAAACGATTGAGTTACGAAACTTTGAAAATTGCCCAAACTTTCGGCCAGAAGCTTCAGCGGAAGGACCAAAATCATGGATGGTGGACAATCTCAGGGACTACTTCTATTGATTTTAAATCTCAGGGACCAAACTTATGGATGATGTAAATCTCAGGGACCATTTTGAATAAAAAGCCTACTTATTATATAGGGTCATTTTGGTTCCGGTCCCTAGTCAACTCAATTTTTAGATTGAAATCTTATTGTTTTTCATTTTTTGATCAAAGTCCTTTGACTTTGTACACCGCAACATTTTAGTATTACTATATTTCCATGTCATCTTTTTGATATCTTAAATAATAAACTGTAATTTAAAATATTGATTGCAGTCCAACATTTAAGGGATTAAAATCCAAGAATTTATGTAATTCAAAATTCTAGTATCATGAGAT